CATACATACATATATATATATATGTATATATATATCATGTGTTTTCAATGAAGTACACAGATACAATGTTCATAAAATAAAATTTCAAAACTAAGTGAAAATGTACTATATTAGGTTAGAAGACAAACTGACCCTAATGCACAAATTTTATGATGTATATTACTTGCAACATAGATTGAAATAGAAAAACTTGAGAGTGTGGCTCACTGGAAGAATGCTTTCCTGAAATGTACAAGATTCTGAGTTTAATTCACCAAATGGAAGAAAGGAAGGGAGAAGAGAAGGAAGGGGGGAGAAAGGGAGGAAGGTAAGGAGAAACAGGAAAAGAAAATTTGCTACTCTGATTTTAACAATACATTTTTTAAAACATCTTCAAATTGAGAAAGATGGTATTAACTAGAACATAAGTCATAAAAATTTAGCCATTTCTTTAAGATTTGAATGGTGAGGATGAGTTATTTTGCTAGCAAGATAAAAAAACATAAAACATTGCATCATTTAAAAAATATATCGATAATGGTAAACATTCTTTCCTTCAAGCAACATATTATTCATGTCTGATAATTCATATTAAAACTCAGGAAGTTTGTTGAAACCTCTACTTTCCCACTAATGTTGAAAGGATTTACTGATCAATAGTCAATTAAGTAATTCTAACTAAGAGCAATAATATTTTTATCTTACAAATAAAAGACAAAGTGCTCTAACTTACTAGGTCACAAATGCTTTATTAAATAACAATTACTAATTACAATTTAAAATTCTAAATGCAACTTAGATTTTTTTCCAGAATTGTTTTATGCTTAGCAATTGAATAAGGAAATACCATATAGTCAGAGCCCTAAGTACATTCAAAAATTTTCTAGCATAGGTTGGCTTTGTGTAGCTCAGCCATGCATCCTTCTTCAAAAATAAAGCCTTGCTGAGGAAAAACAAAATTTCTAGCACAACAAATTCCAGCAAAAGTAGAGCTTTTTATTCTAACAAAATTATTTACAACTATATACTTTATGTATTTATTTTTGGGTTTTTTCAACAGGGTCTTATTATGAAGCCCAGACTGGCTTGGAACTTGCGGTGATCCTCCTGCCTCAGCCTCCAAAGTGCTGGGTTATAGAGGTGTGTCACCATGTTCAGCTACCACTATATATTTTAGAAGTGTAAAAGTAAAATGAAGCAATTAGAACCACACAAATGCAAACTAAACAGAATCAAAAGTAAAAGAAAATGTACTGCACACCAGCAGACTCTGTTACCAGTCTGAAAAGAGGCACATTCTTACAAATGGCAAGAATTCTTGATGTCAAAATAGTCTAAGAGGGATTTTTTTTTTAAAAGAAAAACTGAATTTCTCACAACAAGATACATTTTATTAAAATTTTAAGCACAAAAGTGTCCTAAATTCTCAATTCGCTTTTTGGTCATTAATAATGGACCACTACTGCCAAGTCAGAAGTGATTGCTTTTCAAGTGTAGGGCCATTAATGAAAAAACACAAAACATGCATGACCTAAACTTGATACAGTGTAACATGGTACTTTAACTGATAATATGAATTTAAAGTACATTTTTCTGTAGATACAAGATAATAGTCTATGGTTTTAAAAAACCCAAGAAAGTGAGCAAAAAATCTGTTCTATAACTGGGATAATTGGTTTCTTAATTCAAAACAACTGTTCAATTCAGAATGCAGCACCACAATACAAAATATTTTGCAACATTAGAATGATCTGACATCATGAAAATTAAACTGAAAAGTACCCTCAAAAATATTTTTATTTTATAAAAAGAAGTAAAAACTAGCATTTTATTATCTAATATTTTTTGGTTTTAAGTTCTAGTTTTATTTCATTCATTCATTCATTCATTCAGTACTAGAGATTGAACTCAGGACCTCACGCTTGCTAGGCAGGTGCTGTGCTGCTGAGCTAAATCCCAGCCCCTCTAGTATTATTTTTTAAGAGACTATTCCACCATGAATAAAGTTATTTTCAATATTACAAATCATCAAGGCATATATGTATAATAAGAAATTCTACTTCACACAGTGTCTTTTAAATACTCTCTACATGCAATTAAGTAGTAAGCGTGGCATTGAAAGTGTAGGTTCTGGGTAAGTAATAATACTTACTTCAAGACAGAGTTTCAATACTGCAAGAAAGTAAGGTGTCGTCCCCCGCCCCCCCGTGAGAGAGGCACAGTTAGGGTCTGGCTAACCTGGTTCTGAGTCACTGCTGTCAGAGGAGCTGGAATCACTGCTGCTGCTTTCAGAGGTGCTGCTGCTACTGCTGCTGCTGCTGCTGCTGCTGCTGTCACTCAGGCGGGATCCAATTCCAACTGCTGTGGATGACTGTGACTTCTCAGCTACCAAAGAGGAAAACACATTAAAATGGCAACAGAATCAAATAGTCGCAAGAGCATTTAAAAACTGCCACCTACATTTTGCTTGACGTTTTCCATAATTTAACTGATTGTTGACCTCCAATAACCGCTTTTCCAACTCTTGTTTTTTCTGGGAATGAATTTCTTCTTTGGACTTCATTACTTTCTTAACTGTGTGATTTAGGAGTTTAAAAAAGTAAGTATAACCAAAAATTAACACAAATACCATACTGAACTTTTATTAGTAGGCAGAAACACATACCATGGGGTTTTAAAGGTCTTTTTCTTAGACACGCAGAAACATATTTTTCTAGTTCTCTTAGTGTTGATGCTTTTAGTGTTTCAAAGTCTATCTCCACTTCATCGGGACTGGAACTTCTCAGTGAGGGCTCTCTTGATTGTATTATATGAACCACTCGGCCCAGTTTATCTCCAGGGAGTTTGTTTATATCCAAACTCAACTGCCTTTTCTCATCATAGTTCATAGGCTTAGCATTATCTTCATCTTCAGATTTAGGAGTAAAGACCTCTTGTTTCCTCTTCTTTGGTGGACTGTAATAAAATTACCATTAGATACATTTTATTTATTTGTTTGGGGTTGGGCAGGCAAACCAGGGCCTTGGGCATGCTAAATACTTACTCTACCACTGAGCTACATCCCAGTCAAACTTATTTTAGATAATGTTATTCTTTTTTTTTAAGTTGATTGGTACTTTTTAGGTATACAGTACAGTTACATTCATCATTGGGATATTGTGCCTTTACATGATATGTCTTGGTTCTTATTTTTCCCCATACCCTGCCCTCTCTTCACCCCCTCCACCCTTCCCTATTTACAAAGACTTTGTTTCCATTTTTTTCCTTTTCTCGTATTTTTTCTTTTCCCTTCTTTCCTTTCCCTACAACCCTACACCTTCAGCCCTTTTCTTCCTATTTCGATAATGTTATTCTTTATAGAAGCCTTCATAATAATACATACTTGCTCTTGGACTTTTCCTTTAGTTGAACATTTTTCTTCTGATTTTCATCTCTGTTATTAATCTTTTCACTTTTTTTCCTTTTTTTAGACTTCTCATTATTTTTCTTTAGCTTACGAAAAGGTACTTGGGACAAAGCCTGCAGTTGTTGATGAACAACTTTAAGCTGATAAAGAAAAGAAATCTTTAAACATTTATGGCTATAATCAGAGACATTTCATTTTAGAAATTAATTGTTTTGAGGGGTGTACATTAAACTTACAACACTACAATGTGTTCAACCTAAAGCAGACCACGAGAGCTAGGAGTATAGTTCAATGGTAGAGAGCTGCCCAGTAAATGTGAGGCTTTAGTTTAATTCCTATCACTGCAAAAATAAATAAGAAAAATAAAAATAGACCCAGAATAATTAGCATTTCCAGGCCATCTTAAGTTGCTTAATCATTAACTTTTTAGGTCTGAGCTCAGAGCAGGTTAACATTCTATCATAAAAAATAGCAACTGTTAAATAAGATCTCATCTATAACATATCTCAGATTATGTCATAAATCACTTCAGTAAGAATCAACCACTCATTGTGAGTAGGAATGTAAATAACAGAATTATATTTAAAAACAAAGAATTTTATGAGTATATAGAAATTTGAAGTAGGAAAGACTATTATACATGACAAGTTGCATTTGCTAAATGGTCTAATTTCAGTAGCCTTAAATCTGTAAGAAGGAAGGTGGGAACACAGCTCAGTGGCAGAGCATTTGTCTAGCATGTGTGAAGCCCTGGGTATGATACATACTAATATACACACACAAAGAAAGTCTGGTATAAGGGCACACAATTGCAGTTCTAGTTACTCAGGAGTCAAGGCAGAAGGTTTGAAAGTTCAAGGCCAGACTGGGTACTGCAGAGAGATCCTGTCTCATAATAAAAAAATAAAATGGGCTAGGGATGTAACAGTGCTCCCTAAGTTTAAACTCCAGTAGCAACCAACAAACAAAAAGCTTCCAAGAGTTTCAATGGATCAGCTTATAGAAATAATATCAAAATCTGTATTAATAACAATAAACTACCTGCTCCTGAAGCTTTGCAAGATGCTTAACTTGTTCATCTTCAGAATCATCAGAAGAGTTATCTTCAGAGGAAGCTTCACTACTACTTTCTCTACTAAGGGTTTTTGTAGTACCTGGTGTGATGTTACATACAGGAGTGCTCTCAACAGGTTCATCGGGGAGTTTGGCAAAATGCATTTCAAAAACGTCCTATAATTGAAACTGAGACTGTTAAAGTATTCTGCATTTATAATTTAAGGCAGTAAAAACATATTTTAACAGAAAGAATTTCATTGTCATATTTTGACCAGAATTCTTTTTAAAGACAAACCAATGTCACAAGTTTCTCTGCCTGCCTACTTTGGCAAATTTTATCCATTTTTCCAAACAAGACAGTCCCAAGTTATATAGGGGATTTTCTTTCAAGAACTCTATAGTTGATACATAATTCTACCTTCCATTGGCTGAGACTCAGATGTCCTTGGACTTTGAGTGGGGCCTTCTCTAAGTAACCCCATCTCAGATATCTACAGTCCCCTCTTAACATTATTTCTCATTTCTTTGTAACATAGCTTCATTAAAAGATTTGCTACTGCCGGGCATCGTGGTGCACGCCTGTAATCTCAGCACCAGGGAGGCTGAGGCAGGAGCAGGAGGATCGCTGTGAGTTCAAGACCAGGCTGAGCTACATAGTGAGTTCCAGGTCAGTCTCAACTACATAGTGAGACCCCGTCTCAAAAAAC